TGTCATTCTGTTTCCTGTTAATTTGCACAAGAGTAAAACAGTAAGTGGTTTAAGACAGCTTCTGCAAGGTATTTATCACCCCTTCAGAAAATGCAAGATACAGAGGTTTTAAAATTATTTTTCAATTAACATCAGCCATCTATATTGCTCATTCATACAGCATGTTCACTTTTCCTTCTACATAAAAAGTACTTGTCGTTTTTAGTACATCTACATATCATCAGCCAGTGAGGAACCTATGTCAACCTGTTTAATGTTTCTTCTACAATTTGCTATTCACGGGATGCAGCAAACCACAGCATAAGTTCCTGTGACTACCCTTCCAAAAATTCATTGGTTATTTCTGATTGCTTGCTGTTCAGCCCTGTTTTTATCCATTTATACACCCTTAGACAGATATAACTCTCCAAGAAAAACAACAAAACTCCCTTGATCACTGGCACTAACATTCAGGTTGATATCGTTTCTCAGAGTAACCTGAAAAGCTAAATCCATTCCTGCTCTTTGTTAAGACTTGCAAGACACAGTACACTTGGAATTCAGGTGTGGAAAAACATCTATGTAAGGCAAGCTTGCCAAATGTAACTATCTGCAAGGGTATCATCTAAAGTTAATACAATCCCCATTTACATCTACCAAGTCTTGTATCACTGCCACAGTTTGATCATTAGTGGACTCTGCTACACCTCCTTCCCAGAAGAAAGGAAATGAGTCAGGAGTCAGCTAGAAGCCCTAGTAGAAAAATTGGAGTCAGCTAATCTGTCAAGATTTCATGTATTAGAAAAGAGAACTCTTAGAGATGAGCTCTCAAAGTTTACAAAAGTATTTTTAAATTCTGATACTCTCATCTGATTCCCAACTCTATTTGAGTTTACACATGCATTTACCTGTAAAAGGTACTTTCTAGCATTTTTTTTTAAACTCATCATCAAAAAAAAAAAAAGAGAAACTTTCAAAAGGCAGTGAACTAGAAATAGCATGCTCTTTACATAATACTGAGATCAATAGTATTTAAAGTAGCTGGAAAGTATACTAACATGAGTAGTACTTTTACAGTGGCTTGTTTAAAAATACCTGGAGGCTTTTACATATCCCAAAGGCATTTCTCATTTGCATAGTAAAGATAATTTTTTGTTTATATCAGAATATTAAAGTGGAAATATTGTTACAGTTATCCAGCAAGAACTGCAAAGACTGCTGAAAAGTAAAATATTATTGTTGTATTACAGGAATCAACAGCACAGCCACAGAAAGGTACCAGCTACATTTTTACAATTTTAGGGCAGGCAACCATGGGAGCACTTCAAAATAGCAGACAAATAATGGAAACCTACTATCAATTTCCCCTTATGTCCCGCAAATTATGTCTTTTACATTTCCTGGTTTATTTGAGAAAACAGTAGTATTAAGAATTGTCTAATGCTACAAATATATATTACCTGTATGGCTAGCACTGCCCACTCAACTTCTCCTGCTACGTATTTTTTCTTTTTTATTCATCACACATCCATGGTGTACAAGGTTGTAAGTGAACATTCTTGTCCTTTCACACCTGCATCTTTTTATTCCTGTCGTAATCTCCAGAAGAAAGTCTTGCTGTTGCTTTCATTAATTTAAAAACTGAAATCCACTGGACAATATTGTTTGTTTCATTATATATATTATCTAAGATACACCTGACTATGCTTTCTTACATTCTGTCTGCTTCCATTAGGTATCTGGTTTCTGATCTCAGGTTGTCTATACTGGAAGTTTCTCAGTTGTGGAATTTTTGGTGGAAAGAACACACAGAAAAATGAAGCTATGCAAACACTGGTAGTATCCATGTTACAAGCAGAAACAACAAAAGGTTTAAATCCATTTCATTCTATTTGTATCTATCTCAAAATCTCCTAGTAAGCCAGGGCAAGATGGAAAACATTATCAACATGGATATGAGTGGGTCAGTGTTGTTCCTAACATTGATGAGAACAGGAAGAAGTCTCTATGAAGTCTCAAGCTGGTTTTTATCAGATTTCAGTGTAAATTTTAAATTTTCAGCTCTTTTCTGGTACAACCATGTAAAACATACAAAAATAGGCTGTGAGCAGCACAGGTCTGCCAAGTGACATGCTTCAGGAATCATTTTGCTCCTAACTGTTACTTAGTAATCTCATCTCTTTACCCTTTAAATCCATGTATTTTTCCTAGATTAACAAAGCCAGAAAATCACTTGTCTTGCAATTTTCTGGACAGCTGCAGTACTAGGTAGCAGATTCCCTGGAAACCTAATCAACGTATTAGAACTGAGATAAACTAACACTGTAGTAATATTTAAAATATATATATATATATATATTTACTGCTATAAGGTAGGGAATAAGACAAAAACTTTTCTGAAAGGATGAGAGTGTGAAGAGGTACAGCCATGAAACAGAAGCTACTTGTGGTAAGATTATGGAAAGTTATAGCTGGAAAAATTAGGATAGAATATATAGGGCTGTAATTTGGTTGGACAGAAGACTCACGGGCAAAGCCAGGCTATAAATTATTTCCAAAGCAGCGAATAGACCGTTCTTAAGCAAAAGAGATAAAGATACATTAGTCAGAGAAAAATACACACTACTGCTCCATCTGTCAAATCAAAGCAACCCCAAAGTTCAGTCATGATTAACAGAACTCCTATATACTGAATGGGCTTTAGCCAAACCTATTTCATGATTCTCTGGGGTGATGATATCACCTAAAAAAATGCTGTGGAAGCAATTTCTTCTTTTTTAATTCCATAACTCTGAGAAGCATGGGAAAAGTATGATATAGATGTATAGCTCTGAGTTCAAGAGAGGTGTTCTAAAGCATTAGTGTTCTTCTGAAATAGAGAACATAAAAACGAGACAATCACCTTAATAGAAGCATGCTGTCGCACTTCCGTGTAAGAGTACCCATCACCAGGCTCTACACAAAGTACAAAGCACACAGGCAGATTATATCTTTACTTTTGTATACAACAGACTATTATTATACACCAGATTTCTGTAGTAAGTCTTCTGATAGTCTGAACACTTAATTAAAAGGGTTTCACAAACATTTCCTACCATTGTAAAAAAATTCAGCTCATTATCATGCTTGTGGGCATCAAGGTGGTATCTAATAGTCCCATGTTCACTGTATCAATCAGGATAATACACACACAACTATCAATTTCTGTTGTAAAGGAAGTATAAAATAATTTAAAGCAAGGGATAACTACGAAGCATAAAAATATTCCTAGAAATGAAAAAGTATAAACAAAGACTGTATCTTATTTAGGCATACAATTCAAGAACTCCAAATAATCCATTATATTCACCATTATTTAAATGCATGCTTTCTAACATCTCTGTTACAATTTATTCTAATATCTTGCTAATTTTTTATACAAAACATGAATCACAAATGTTAATAAGGCTGAACATTTCTATTTCTACCTTATTAAGCTTCATTTGAAAGAGCTAAAATTTTCCATATTGTTCCTCTATGAAATGAGGTTAAGACAAAACAATTTTTTAATGTTTTCAATATACTTGTATACATGTAATGTATGCTTACATACATTAAATACTGTAGTTATATATTTTAAGCAGTTCTTACACCTTTTTATGTTTGAAGAACGATTAATACTACCATCACTGAACTCAAGAAAATGCAACCAAATTTTATCATTAAACAAGTCAGTAAGTATTTGCATTTCAACATGAATGAGGGATGCTGTAAATCTGTTCCTAAGTCTTCCTCATATATTAGTATTGCTTCCCAAATCAGAACATGCAAGCAAGGTGAAATTAGTACACTCTCCTAACAGCCAAGCTACTACTCTGCAGGTAAGTGTCCCAGTACAAAGCCAGAAATTATGTGACATCATTGTTGGTGACCACATGTGAACCCTCATGTAACAACTGTCTTAAAACAAGCTGCATGAGCTTACACCAACCATTTCTTCCCCTGGATATGAATGGTTTAGAATATTAGCTCTAGTTACATGACCACACCATAATTTTGGGCAACATTTCCATTGCTTTGTGCAGTGCAGAAGATGGGAGAACACTATAGTGAATGCACTCCCAGCTAAAGAACGTAATGCTGTATTTTCAGAAGTGGAAGAACATTCACCAATCAAGTCCAGAAAGGAAATACTTGAACAAACATGACTTTCAAGATCAAAGCACGGAACAGAAACCCAAAGGAGCTAGCACCCCTCCTGCCTCAATGACAAGCTTCCCAAGTAACACTGGCAAGCCATTTGAAGAAGTTAAAATCCATTTTTTTCTTTTTTAAATTTTCCCTTTTTCAGTTTAAAAGAGGAAACTTATGGAACCCTCAGAGACAGAACAGACAAATCTTTCAACCATAAGAGAACCAAATGTTTGAATTCTGACAGTCACATTACCAATTCATTCACACTCTCCTTATCTTTGGCCTACAAAACTTCTGAATTTGTAAATAACAGCGTTTTAAAACAATCAATCACATAGTGTGATGATTAACTTTTATATCAGATGATACTATGTAAGTACCATGAGGAAATACCCTCAAAGGAGTAACAGTTAAACTGCACAGTATGCTCCCTTGTTACCATGTCTTAGCCTTTCACTTCTTTAAAAATGCAGATAAACATAATTTATATATGGAACTGTTATCCAAACACTTGTGATAGCAGAAAAATATCACTTACTTCCTCTTGCTCTTTCAGTAGAAAAACAGAATATGCAGTACATTTATAATTTAAAAATTTAATTAAACTGCAGCACAGCAACCTCAGTAAAAACAGTATACTTCAAGTATATTTCAACTTACATCAAAAAAAAGGAAACTTGCAACATATTCTAGGTACTCTTGACAAAATTTAAGAATGGAATTTTTGTAACATGTTTTAAATTCCTACACAGTGCTCAATTAAAAAGATAAAGAATAGGATATCGGCGGGGGGGGGGGGGGGGTTGTTTGGTTTTGGTCTTAGTATCTTGCTAAATCTTTAAACTCACCTTTCCACAATCAATCTGACAGCTTGAGTAAGATCTGGACTTGACACCTGGAGATGTTTCCACAGACACCACACAAATTCTTTATCAGCCTTAGAAACAGGAAAAAAAAAAAAAAACATATTAAATGTGTGCTGTACCTTTTACAGACAAAAAAGTTGTACCGTACATATTCAAAAGACAAATACCAAAAAATCTCTATTCTAGTGAGAATCCCCTACAAGTTACTCACTGTCCTGTGAATAAAAGAAAATGGCAAACAGTTCTTTTGAATACATACAGAATTTAGAAGACAAAAGACCTACAATCAACAATAAAAGAGTACACTTTGTGACATAAGGCAGCAGAAATCAACATTATTCAAGCAAAGCTGCCTTTTGCTTTATCAATTACTGGTACTTCTAGCAGTAGGTCACAATTTCTATTAATAAACATTGAGCCTGGAATACATGCTTCAATATTAAGTTTTACCACATACAGCTCTTAGATTTTATTTCAAAATAGATAGTAAATCAGTCTTCTAACATATGGTCAGCTAACATGCAGTATATAAAAACTTCTGAAAAAATTCTCAAGTGAGAGCAATAAAATAATGTTTTTTAAAAATACACTTAAAGTTTGTAAAAACTAGATGTCAGCTAAAAGCTTTTCCAGATTTGTTTTTTCTATTATACGGAAGTTCTGATTTTGCACCGGTGTATTTTTATTCTAATAGAGTTTTATTACTGGAAGCACCAATACTGATGATGTAGTTATGTTACAAAGTAAAATCATAATGTCTTAATTATATAAAACTGTTAGGAGAAAAAAAGAAAAAAACCTCAGTAAAAGATGAAAACAGGGAGAATTATAAGAAAGCATATAAACATAAACCATGGACTGGGGTAAGATCAAACCTGCTAAAAGCAGCCTAACATAAAATTATAAATTACTAAGCCAAAATCATCATATTGGCAGCTAAGTCTATTCAACAGGTAAAAATCACAGGAGTGCAACTTCATCTACTTTTTACTAGTTTTTGAATGTTAAATAGAAATAGAATTTGCATGAGGACAATACATTACCTAAAAGGAAACACAACACTATCACAGCTAGCCATTTCCCTGCTTCCCTCTCCCAAGCTTGTGGAACCTAATGTACTAAGATACCACAGGTATCATTAGTTAACCAGAACCTCACTAAAACTGGCTAAACAAACAACACTATCATCTCTGGATAACTCTGTCTTAATCCCTGTTATCAAATGAAACAGAAGACCTGAGTTCCTACCTTCACCTCCACTGTTTGGCTTCTTCACAACTTTCCCACTTAATTTCTTCTTTCCCTGATTTCTCATTTTTTATTAATAAGAAGAGATTGCACCTTTGGTCACAGTACTGTGAGCCCATGACTTGAAACAGCTAAAAGCAATGGTCATCTAAGACACAAAACAGATCAATAGAACTACAAGTTTGACAAGTCTCACGAGTCAGTAAAGACCCCATACTGTATGATTAGGGTAAATCTCAGGAGCAGAAACTGCTTTTTCTATTTTTGCCTTCTTTTCTTTTTATTTGCTCCCAATCAGTCTTGCCTTCTAAGAAGCAGGCTTGAACTTTACAAGCAAGATCAGTTCCAGCGCATGACAATCATTCCATCATAAAGTTTCTCTTTCTTCAGCACAAGCGAGTAACTATGTTCAATAGGAAATCAAAATATCCCTCTAAAGCTCTGAGACTTTTATCAAGATTTATTGGTGTACTGATTATTTTATCAAGATTAATACAGCAACAGCCATATATACTGAATTACAGATTTAACAAATTTTAACAATTGTTATAGAAGAAATAGGAGATGGTCATACCTATTTCCTCCATGATTTAGGAGGAAAGCCTCAAAGATTATTTCTTCTAAAGTTCTGATGTCTTTCCTTCAAATTTAGAAATGTACATATTTTGAATTTTAAAATTGCATAAAGAAGTGAGGCAATGCTAAACTTACAAGAAAACATAAGAAAAACTGTAAGTGAAAGGTTTTATGACTGCTAGTTTTAAAAAAATATCTTCACCTCTTATAATTTCTACTTCACATATATTTTAATCTTTAAATGTCATCAACTTCATCAACCAAACAAGGAAGAAAACCTTACAGAGACAATGCTTTATCAAGGTATTCTGTACACATAGAAGAAGCCATTCGCCTGTAAGAACTGCTAACAAATCTGACTAGCTTTCTGATTGTGTTAGAAACCAAATAAAACAAAGGCTCTGGCCAAAAGATCTTATAATTCAAAACTATTATCAGCTTATGCAAACCAGACTACAGCAGAAAGTTCATCTTTCATAAAACTAGAGAAATTTCATCTAACTGCCTTTCTAGGATGCACAAAACTTTTAAAGAGTTGACAGGGAGACAGCATTTCTGGTATTTCCAAACAAAACCAAACAATTAACAAAAAACTTTGTGTAGAAAGAAACAGGACAAACTCTTTTAAACAACAAACTCTTTTAAAACCCTTGAAAGGAACATCATCCTTCTCCAACTAAATTGGATTAGCAGTGTAAGAACTCTTTCTAAAACCAAAAGCAACCCTGCTGCACGCAAGCAAACAGAAGCTAACTGAATCATGGTGCACTATGGTGCATAACCGCATTCACTTTTTGAAGAAAGGTTAACACCAAACCTAAGCCATACATCACATAAATAAGAACTCAATTGACTTCACATCAGTATCCAAGCCTTCATTCAGTAGAAGTGCTAAAAATAATTTCACTTTTAGCTGGGAATTAAGTTAAAAGACAAACAGTAAGTATCATATTAATTATGTTACTTGTTTCAAGCCAAAAAGATGGCCATTCACCTTTTTACAAACAAAAAAAAACCAACCACAAAACAAACATAAATACAACCTCTCATGATGTGCTACCACCTTACACCACTCTAATATGCTGGATTGCTGTCTATCTAGTCTGAGAGACTATAAAAAATGTGCACCTTTTTCACGTGTCCTCAAAAAAGCCACTATCTCCTGAAAATGCCTTACCATGTCACCTGAGAAGTCACAATGTGTGTACACTGTAAACCAGGCAAGACCTACTGCTTCTTCTCAGGCAGAAACAGAATGACAAATAAAAATGTTTTTCGGATTTGGAAAAACTGTTACAAGCTTACGGAAAGCATCAGGATCTATAAAGAACATGGATTCTGAGTATTTTTAACATCAAAAATATCTTGTATTTGTATATCTTGGAGCCCAGAAAATTAAAAACACAAAGTCAAACAAAAAGTCACTAAGTAATAGCAATGGAAATGGGATTTCTTTTCAGTTATTTAAAAGGACAGTAAGTCAGTAATTCTTACACTCTAATTGACACCACTGAGTATAAGGAATCTCTCTGATCCATAATGGAGGAATAAACCACTGTATCTAGTAAACTGTGTGCAACTCTAATTTTAAAATAATTTTAATTCATATCTATCAATCAACAATATGGAGAGCAGAACTGAACTGATAATAGTGCTTGAATATTTTTTATATCTTTAATACACAAGTCACTGTGTATTTTTACCCTAAACTACTAAAAATCACTAAAAAATGAGTCTAAGGGCCATGAAGTCATTAGAGTACAGAGAACTCCAGATATAACAAAGTGTCATTACACCTGCAAATCCTCAAAAATCTCAAGTCAAACAAACAATCAAAGCTTCTGATGCTGATTTTTTTAAGCCCACGAGCTTTGTTTAATTCAGTTTTGTTTGCCTGTCTGAAGATGTGGACTTGCTTACCATCATGCTTCCTTAGCTTTTCCCTTTACTGTCTTGTATACAAGCCCACAGAAGTAGCTGTTGGGTTTTCTGCTTATTTATTTATTTATTAGAAGAACTGAGACACACAAGCTTCTCCATGACTCCAAGAAGCACTATCAAATATCACAAAACTCACTACAAGCAGCAGCAGCTGCCTGTTGTCCTACCCTGCAGGTTCCTACACATTCCAGATCCCTGCTGGGGAACTGCACAAGGCATCACAAGAATAGAGTACAACTTACAGACACATACCTCTAAGCACAGCACTCCTTCCTTACAAAAAAAAAAAAAAAAAAAAAACAACAAAACAAACAAACAAACAAACAAAAAAAAAAAAAACCTCCACACAACAACAAAAAGGGATAACTACAATAATAACTACAATAACATATACTAAACAGCTCCTAATGAACAAGTATGTAAAGAATATATATATACATACAATACAACAAGGAGATGTTCACATCCCTCCTGTGATTTTTGCTGAATATCCAGCATGTATTGAGTCTCTGGCAATCTAGTTCCTACCTAAACTTTGCCAAGTTTCCCAGAAATTGACCTTTTGATGATATATAAAATACTAAATTTCCATGAGCATTGTCATCCTAGTAAGAACAGACACTAAGCTACAAATGTTCTCTTTTAATTGAATAAGCAGTTCATACTAACCTCAAAGCACCTGTAACTATTCACAGACTACTTTCAAAATTGTCCAAGGAATAGTAAAATCAACTTCAAATTATACTCATGTCAATGATATTACCATTTCTAACACAACTAAGTTCTGCAACATTTCTGTATGTGCTGAAAGAACAGAAGCTGAAGTAGGAATGAAAAAGCCATCCTAACCTAATAATTTAAAAAGCTTGTTGGCAGTAAGAAATACTTAATGTGAACAGCGTGCACTAAAGAAACAGTTAAACAGAACAGGCTAAGTAGTATCCATTTTAAAAAAAATAAAAACACAAAACACCACACACAAAACACAACAAACAAAACCCTTCCCAAGTCACCTGGAAATAAGGGAAAAATCACTGGAATTTCTAGAACTGCAAAACAATGCCATTTCAATAAATGCTGTTTATTTTTGATGATGGCAGGAACTGGTATTTAAAGCTCCTACTGCAATCTGTGAATAAGCACACACAGAACTAGAAAGCAATGCTGTAATTATATCAACAGACATTCTAATCTACATTAATAAATGCCTTTCACTACATATTTGTATTTCTGTAAGTGTACACAAAACAAAGCAGCATCCTGCCTAAGTGGACTTCTGCCAAAAGAATGACACAAATGCATCTTC